AAGCCTGTTGTAAACATAACTTGACGATACTTTGATGTTTTGTTCTTCAACGTAAACTGCACACACTCACACCCCAAACTGTTTTAATCTAGTTACTTACTAGAAACTTACTAGAAACCAGAGGCGAATTAAGGTGCATTCACACTACAAGCGACAAAGCGACACGAGCGACATTTGGACATTACTAATCATTTTACGGTGTTTTTCACCTGCTTTTTTGCGTAAAAAGTAGCAAAGTAGACATATTTGAATGCAGCCTAATTGTTAAGATGATTTTGCATCTGTTTTGACACTTAAAAGCTCCAGTGCCCATGCATTATAATCGCATGGAAAAGAGGGACGGGCACATTCTTCAAGAAAATTGTACTAGTTTGGAACGAAATTGTTGTGTGTGTAAATGACCTACATCCTAATTTCAGAAATAGCAGACTTTTCTGCTCTCTGTGTGTGTTTCTACACACTGTGCGTCGATCACCTGTGAAAAGCTTTTGAGCTTTCTGCATTACTCCCATATGTCAGCGGTGCCAGACAGACTCATGGTGCCACACGCTGCGATGCCAACAGTTTCTGCCTCCCTCTTTTTACTAGTTTCTCTCGCTCTTCATCACTCTCTCTCTCTCATGCTGTTCACAGCTCTCCTGTAGCATCTGGCTCCGAGACAGATGACGAACAAGTCTGTGTTCTATTTGTGAATGCTTTGCTCTGTCGTCTGCTGATTGTGAAATATTTTTAACTTTTGTGATGTTTATTTATAAGCCAGACTCGTAGTTTATGCAGTGACACAAACGCAGATATGTACGCTGGGTCAGTGCAATGTGAAGGTGCTGTCCTGTTTTACAGTACATACGTTCTTGCATTTCTGTGGCAGAAACACACCTCAGTACTCAAGGGGGTGATGTATTTCCTTGAAGTGTCTGTGCTTCTGGATATGTTATTTGAGGTAACTGCTGAAGTAAGTAACTTGATGTAACGGAAGTAGAGACAGATTCTGTATCGTGACGTACATCCGAGGAAGCTGATTATGGAAAGAAAGTAGGCTGCAGACTGCAGACTTGTTTTAATCTAACAGTTGTTGATTGGATGGAGGCGGATATGAATGCGATGATGTAGTTGATGGACCCTTTTCGTGGACAATGAGGACGCGTTTCCACAGTACTTAAGTAACTTATTTCAGTTAGTAAGTTGATAAAACTTCATTTCTTAATGTTTTTTTTTAATTCAAGTTTTTTTCCTGTCATTTTTATTTGATATTTTATTTCATTTCAGCTGTATTTCAATGACTGAAAAGTATTTGTAATAGTTACAGTTTTAGTGAACAATATCTCACAATAACTTCACATTAAGATGCATTTATAAATGTGATGATTAGGTGTTCAAGCACGAAGTGCTGAAAACCTATTGTATTTGTACTGATTTTTATTATTATTATTATTATTATTATTATTCTTCTGCCGTAAAACGCATCGTGCAGAACGTGCTGGAGCTCTGAAACTTTGTCAGATGGTAGTACAAAAATCGAGGAGAGCCTCAGAAAGTATGACCCCGATTGGCCTATAGGTGGCGCTACAGCAATCAATTGCGCGAAACTGCTCATAACTCCTAAACCGTATGTCGTAGACTCAAGTGTCTTATATCATTGGAAAGCTGGAGGCCTGAAGAACAAAACGTATATCTCCGATTTCATTTCCGGTATGCAAATTTTTCCGCCATTTTGAATTTTGTCAAAAACCTACTTTTGCGAACTAGTCCCTGGTTTTTTGCCCGATCAAAACCAGACAAATGCATACATGTTCTCTGGAGTCTGAATATCAATATTCATTGAAAAAAAGTTGAATTTGCGATTCACGGTCGCTAGGGGGAGTAAAATGATCGTTGTGGGAGGAGCCTATTTTACTAAAATGGCTATAACTCGAGAAAGAAATGAGATATCTTCACCAAACTTGGAACACATGTGTATGAGTTCAATCTGAGGTCACAGTAAAAAAATCGCTTCGACCTAACACTAGGTGGCGCTATAACACACAAAAAACCTAAATGGGGCTATGACAACCTGACCGTTAGTCCGATTGACTTGAAAATTGGTATGCAGTGTCTTGGTCCAAGGTGCCATGTATGTGTATGAGGAAATTGGCGTAACTCAAAAAACATGGCCGCCATCGGCCAATGAATTTGAGCACCTATTAGACGAGGTTAACGGAGGCCAATCGGAACGAAACTCGATGGGCATGTTCGACTCATGGCCAAAGAGGTCTGTAAGAGTTTTGAAAGAAATTGGCCACTAGTTGGCGCTAACGAGTTTTACGGCTCTGTAATCACGTGGTGTTGCACACATCCCCAAAATATGCATATCATTTGATACATCTCCTCAGGTTGAACAACTTTGCCTCTAGAACCATTGCTGTCAATCAAATCGTTCATTAAATATTCACGAATATGTTAAAAACCTACTTTTGCGAACTAGTCCCTGGATTTTCGCCCGATCGGAACCAGACCAGTCTAGGACAATTCTCTGGACTCTCTAGATCAATAATCATTGAAAAAAAGTTGAACTTTTGCATTTTTCGTATGGCTATAACAGGGTCATTTAGAAAAGGGGCGTGTCAAATACACACAAAAGCCTATAAATCATAAATAAAAACTCAGAACTTGACAAAAATTGGTGAGCATATGTGTCATAACATGGTGAAGAAGCATGCAAAGTTTCATGGAGATCGGACCATACTTGGCGCTATAACTGTCAAAAAGCTTTAAAACCATACATTTCCTATGGTAAATTGCCTGTATTGGCTTTAAATGCTGATCTCTTGAATGAATGCTCAGATCTTCTTTAAAAAAGGTCAAGAACATGTGTAATATCACTCTGTACGGCATTGAAAAATTTCAGACAAATCAGACAAAATTTGCCTCTATAATTAATTGTCACAGGAAGCCTCAAAACGAAAGTAAAACATTGGGCCACGCCCCCCCAAGTACAAATTCACTCATAACTCGAAAACGGAAAGTCTCTGCCCGCTCAAATTTTGATGGTAAGGTCCTCTCGGGGATCTTGATCCAAATCTATCGTCGCGGGGCTCGGGAGCGCCCCCCCCCCCCCCCCGCGGATCGCTAATCTGTGATAACCCCAACTTGAAACGGCTATAACTCTTGATCCAGACCATCTAGATCCTTGTGGAAGAGCTTGTTGGAAAGGGCCCGTCCTCATCTCGCTTCGATTCGAGGTTGGTGCGATTCGACCCAGGCATTTCCGAGATATAAGCCCACAAAGATATGCATTTAAACGGACATTACTCCCGCCCCCAATCACCCAGCAACACCGGGATGGTCTTGTTCAACAGAGCTCCTCTAACACTATCTAAGTTCTGAGTTTCAGATTTTTACACTTTCTCGTTCCCGAGATATAAGTAAAAAAAAAAACTAATTTCCCGTCATTCATTTCAACCGTTTATGTAGGCTGTAAAACCGCTGTTGTCCACTAGAGGGAGCAACAGCATTAGACATTTTTAATCTTTTTAACCAGTTTTCAGCAATGGCTAACAAACAAATGCTTAAAGATATTTATTATGTTGGAAATAATATTTATAATAAATAATATAATATTAAATAATGATTTATTAGAAAGTTTAATATTTTTACATCACAAATAAATATCTGAAATGCTTAAGGACCACAAAAAGAGATTTTCACAATATCATAACCCAAAATTGTGTGTGTGTGTGTGTGTGTGTGTGAGCATGCATAATGGAATTCACATTGAAAGACTGGTTTGCTTTAGTGCACAATACTGATTAAACCAAGTAGTTCAAAATAAAAGTGGTACTATAGCAATAAGTGGTCTTCTACTACCCTCTGTTGGACATTATACTTATTAATAGTCTTTTCACATGTGCTTTTGCATTCATATATTTAGACACTAAAAAATAACCTTATGTGACAATTACTATAATAACACAATCATATTTTGTCTTTCAATTCACTTTACTGTTCTGAAGCTTCACATAATTGCTAGCAACGTGGTAAATCATGGTAAATCACGATAGAAACATGGTAAATCACAGTAAATAATATTATTACATGGTGTATCATGGTAAATCATGCTGGCAATGTGATTAATCATGGTAAAGCATGATACAATCCTAGTAAATCATCATTACATGGTAAATCAAGGTAAACTTAAGACAAATCAAGGTAAACTATGATAAAGCATGCTAGAATCATATTACATCATAGGCTACTAGAATGTGTTCAATTGTGGTAAATCATGCAAGAACAGGGTAAACCATGGTGAATCATACTAGAACTCGGTATATCATAGTAAACTATGGTAAATCATACTGTAACATAGTAAATCATTAACAATCACACTGAAATGTTGTATATCATGTCAAATCATGCTAAAACATGGTCTATTCCATCTATGATGTCAGTGGTTAAATGCTTGCTACATAAACCTTAATGTCTTTTGATGCTTTTGAGTTGAACTGTCTTAACTGTCTTAACTGTCTTAACTGTCTTAAATGCTTGAACACCGCTAAATGCTGCTAGCAGCTTTAATTATAATTATTATTGCTATTAAAAGATTAATAAACAGAATTTCCATTTCATGACGACTTTTTCAAACTCAGACATTCCTCGACCTGACAAACGCAGATTAAACATGTTACGAGTGCTGGCCAATATACAGGTCACTCAGTTTTTCATGAAATAGTCAAGGTTTCATACGCAACAGTCTGAATATAGTCAGTTTTGCATCACCATTGTTTACCCTCTCTCTTACCTTTAGAATGAAACCCGTCACTGTACCTTTAAGATTTCTATAGATGGGTTAATGCCCTTTCTTCTGATTAGGAAATGAGCAACAAGACCCCTTCAAAGTTGCTGAACGATGAAAAGTCATTGATGTGCAAATATCGGTGGTCATATGTTAATGAGCTTATGTTTGTGACACGAGTGCCTCCTTCTGAACGACCTGCTTATGCAGCTTTCATCTGTCTCTGTTGTAGAAAGCGGCTCCTCCATCACTGCGTCCTGTGTGGGTCTGGGCTGCTCACTCGCTCCCCCTGCCGGCACGGCCGGTAAAGCCGTGCCTGGATACGACGGTGAGATCCCTCTACATTGTTCTTTGGCTAACCCTAACCCTACATTTGATCATTTGTTTATCACAAACTCTTTGTTGTCGATCGATGAGCGATTATGTCTCAGAGCTCCTTTTGATTGACGTTTGAGCTTGTAATAGCTAGATAATTCAATACATGACCAAAGCACTTTCTTTATCTTTGTCTCATAGTGACAGTGATTGATGATGATATGCAACAGGTGAAACCAAGGACTCTGGGAAATATTGTGGTAAAGTGAGTTATTTTAATCCTTTCATTGTTTTCTTTTTATCGATCGAGACAGTGGGAAGGGGACAGAAGGGAATGGCAGTAGGATCAGGCTAGATGAAGGAGATCTCTGGAGCGTATGCACTTACCATGAGGCCACAGGGCCGGGCATCGCATCACGAAACAAATGTCCTGGAGTAGCATCAAGATGCGTGAACATGCAATTAAAATGGACCTTTTTTCTAATAGCCATTCTCTGTTTTAATTCACAATTAATCAGTTCATCAAAATGTAATAAGTTGCTCCCCCTTTAAAATGAAATTGCCAAGCCATTGCTTTCAGATGGAAAATTTAGCTTTGAATTAAAAAAAATTAAATATATTAAAATAGAAACTAGTTATATTAGTGTTTTTACTGTGTTTTTGATTAAATAAATGCAGCCTTGGTGAGCATAAGAGACTTTTTTCAAAAACATATATATTTTTTATGTTTTCAAACTTTTGACAGGTATAAATGATACAACGCATGGTAGAATATTACAAATGGAGGTGCATCCTGGGATGATTTTTCCTTCAATTATCCTTTGCTGGTAAAATAGTTACAGTACAATTTATGTTTATATTGAACTAATTTCAAACGTTTAAACGTCAAAAGTGTACACCTTTAGATGAAAAGGTCATGAAGAAACCTGTGAAATGTGTTACTAAACAATGCTGATTTCAGAGCTTCTTCAATAATGAAACTGTATGAAATACACAATAATAATAAGAAGAAGAATAAAAGATCAATACGAGTATCTTTTCAATGATATGACCGAATGTTCTATCCCCCTGTTGTAGACAGCCAGTCATATTTTGACAGGTCCAATGCCCATCCAGACCTCCGCCGTGTCTTTAAGATGACAGCCCAACCTCTTTGTTTGATCTTCACAAATAACTCTCCTTTTCTGTGCTTTCCACTTCAATGTCCACTCATCTTCCCCACACAATAAAAGATTTAATGACACAAAGCCAAAGCTGAAGAGAATCTTTTTATCACAGATCTGACTTTAACATCTCAGTCTTTGTACGAGGACATTAAGGCCGAGTCTGAGCGGAATGTCTAATGGGGTCTCGTCTCACACCGTCTGCTTAGAAAAGAGCATTTTGTGTGTTCTTTCAGGCCTTCTTCAGGTGCAACCCACGTCTAAGCCTGGCGACGCGTCTGTCCTCGCCCGCCGCAGAGGGAACTAATCTCGCACATGTTTGTGTTGTCATTTTTGTTCTCCGGTAGATTTGATGTTAATCAAAAGCGTGTTTGTTTGAAAGCCAGACGGATAGAAGCTCGGATTAAAAGGAAATTGTGTTTTATAAAACAAGACGATACATAAACACTTTCAGGAGTCGCACATACCTTTTTTTTTTTTTTTTTTTTTTGAAGTATTTTGATTTATGTGGCCATCAAGGATTATATATAAAAAAAAAGAGGAATAAGTCAAAAATGATGACTTTATTTTGCGAGTACTTTGGTAATCAAACAGTTTGGTTATTGAATAACACCAAAACATTTCTCAAAATATCATCTTTTATGCTCTGCAGAAGAATACAAGTCATACAGGTTTGGAACAACATGAGGGTGAGCAAATCATGACAGAATCTGTTTGCTGTTAATCCTCTGAATATTGTCATTCATATTTATACTTGAAAGCATTTTCTGAAAGGTTGAAAACATCCTATTCCTTGAAGCAAGGTCACGTCTTGACAATTTTTTTTTCTTGTGAAAACATGTCTTTTTCTTCTCTCGACAGGCTTCCTCTGCCTCCCGGGGCGGCTCTCAGTCTCTGGCAGAATCAGACGCTGTTTAAGAAGCTGTACTTCACCAAGTTCCCTGTAAGCATTCAGCTGTATCCTCCTGAGACCCAGAAAAAAAAAAGTTTTTTGAATTTAGTTTTTTTCCATGTCATCACACTGTTTAGAGCACAATAAACAAATGGTAAAAAAACACATATATAAAATAATATTTTATTCATACGTTATGCTATGTCCTCTGTAGTGGACGCCAGGACTAAGTTGTTTAAAAAATAAAATGACATGAAATTATATGTATAGGCAAAAGCAATGGGATTTTTTTTCAATCACCAATACATTTTGGGGTTTCAGGATTTTTTCAACCAAAATTTGTATAAAGATTATTCTCAACTATGTTATGAAAGAAATAATGGAATGAATTGATACACCATTTTACTTTTTGCAATATGTGGGTAAAATGGCCATAAATTAATATTCCCATTCAATGCAATGTATCTACACACTGTATCTAATTTGCACATTAATGTGTTCTTGGAGCAACATTTAATGAAAAAATAAGTGTAATAATTGGAGTAATAATTGGCAACATTTTAATAATAATATCTAATATTTCATAGGAATATTGATGTATAATTTATTTCCATATTCACTTGTTGTGTCTCCCAGAATGCCTGATAAACATGATTTTAGTCCTGATGTCCTCTACAGTGGACACGTTTGAAATCAATGCCCTGTTCTGTAACAGAAAGTAATTTTTTTATTTGAAACCCCTTAACATTTTCCTGAGATGTTGTTTTATGAAATACAATTTGAAAAAGTAGTCCAATTTAAATATAATTACAATATATTATCATATTTCCATAAGAATGCTACATTTGATCACTAAATTAATGTCAGACATTTTTAAAGACCAAGGAGAAGTTGTTTTCATGGTGAAACCTCCAAACATTTGGTATCTCTCAAAAGTCCTGAATGTGCTCTTTACAGGACACCCAGGTTGTGTCATGTGACATGTATGATGTCAGAGAAATTCACTAAAATATAATGTCCACTACAGTGGACAAAAGTCTATTCTTGGGTCCCAGGAGGATATACACGCATATATTCACCATCTGCTCTACTGTGACATGCATGCAAGTATCTTTCTTTCTTTTTGTGCAGTAGTTTGAAAGGAGCACTTTGTATCACCAGCATAGGCTGACTTTGGACTTGCAGTTACGTCTGGTCCAGTTACTGTGGTCAAAATCCAGACAGACCCATTCAGACAGGCAGTAAGGGACTGACATGCAAAATGACCAGTCACAGTTTATGTTTTTATATGCAGATTAGGGGAAGGTTTATCCGGCGTACAACATAACCCAATAATGAAGAAATTAAGAAAATATGCAAATAAGTGTGGTTTGTGCCTTTGTGATTTGAATTTTTGTATGTGTAAAATACGAAATAGTGAATTTTGTCTTAGACAGAATATCTAATGAATGTCAATTGATACTATGTGCCTCAATCAGGATCTGAGAAGGCTGGAGTCCAGCGATTAGTTTTATTAGTGCTCGCAATACGAAAGCTGCGTACCCAACTTTAGGAAGCCGCCCTAGCTATCCGATTAATGATTCCGACAAGCGTCTTCCAGGTACGCATCAGCAGGTCCGTGAACGGTCTGTGGGCGTGCCGAGGGCGAGACTGTTACGCGCAGTTTGATTAGGATGTCTATATCCATTTCTTTTGATAATAATCAGGCAGGACAGTCATAATATCATCACAGGACGGCGCTCAGCATGCGCTTTTGATCATTACATGTCAGCTGCGGCTGGCTGCATTCAATCCACACGCTGATGGTGACGAAAGGTGTAAATGATGTTTTGATCATTTGATGTATTTTGAGTGAAGAACTGCTATGTTTACAATGACCTGGAACTGATACGTTGAGGCTTTCAAAAGGCCCAAAACGTGACATAAAAGTGATCCATATGACATGCGCACTATATTGTGAGTATTAGGAAGTCCTAGAGTAAGAGAAATGAACCGACAATGTTTGGTAGAAGTAATGTTTTTAAGCTGGTATATTTGGCATTTTATTTACAAGTTTACATTTACATTACATGTAACTAGAAGTGTATGTTTTTGTTGGTACTGAATATAAGAACCGGACAGAAGTACACTGCGGCCTGAGAATACGCAAGCATGTAGCGTACATTCATTGCATTATAATTACAAAACTTACTGAAATAGAATTTCAAGGCTTTATAAGTAGGCTTTATATTCCATTGTTGTAGTATAATGGTAAAATGTCTTTGTATATGGGTGTTTATACATTAATAGACATCACTGACATGTCATGAAATAGGTCTAGCTATTGTAGAAATAAGCAAATTGGATTGATCTAAGAACTGCATGGCATGCTGTGATGTGTGCTTTTATGGGGTGCAGCGCCATCCAGCAGCTCAAAGAAATATTACGTATACCAGTCATGAATGTGTGTTAGTATTTTTGTATTGAAAAGTATTTTTATTGTACTCCCTCCTAGGGTTACTATGACACCATGGACGCAGGGTTTGTGGACGAGGAGGGCTTCTTGTACATCATGTCTCGGTCCGACGACGTCATCAACGTGGCGGGTCACAGGCTGTCCACCGGCGCCCTCGAAGAGGTCTCACTCACGACACAAATAATAACAACCCTAATAACAAATCTTTCTTGTTGCCATACTAACAAACCATATATTGTGTGTGTGTGTGTGTCCTTCAGTCTGTCCTGCTGCACCCTGCCGTGGTGGACTGTGCTGTGGTGGGACTGGAGGATCCCCTGAAGGGACATGTGCCTCTGGCTTTGTGTGTGCTTGGGAATGGTGAGAAAGGAAGAAAAGATAAATATATATATATATATATATATATAGAAAGAATACACTTTTTGGATGTATATTTTTTGGATGTATATTTGTGTGTGTTTGTTTGTAGGGTGTCAGAAGAGTGAAGAAGTGCTGGTGAATGAGATGGTGAAATTGGTGAGGGACACCATCGGGCCGGTCGCTGCTTTCAAGAAGGTTGTCTTTGTCAAAGCTCTTCCCAAAACCCGCTCGGGAAAAATTCCACGATCGTCTCTCGCTAACCTGGTGAACGACAAGCCTTTTAAGGTATTTTCTTGACATGATGATTGTTATTAAGTAGGTGGGCAGCAGCAAATGCTCTTGTTCAGTGAAAGTATTATGGTACTGCAGAGCTTTCTAATTTGGATGTTTGTAATGTGAAATTTATAGATCAGTCCCACCATAGAAGATCCTGAGGTCTTTAAGGACATTGAAAAGATGCTGAAAGAAACTGTAAAAGAACCTGGTAAATAATTTACCATCAGAAATGGACGGACACACACACCTTCCTCTCTAAGATGTGAGATTCTGTGAATATTTGCAATAGAGGAATGTGTTTCCCAATAGAATGTACTCCTCGCTTGGGCATAATATTTCTTTGATAACAATGTGATACTAAATTGTAACCAAAAAAAGTATTTCATTAATGCGTGTTAATAAGATAAGTTGTATTTGTTGAAGGTTTTGTATTAGTTGGACCAAATTAACACCAATCAAATAGTTTAGAAAAGTTTGAATAGGTGAATGTTACAAAAATACGTCCAGTTTATATTTATTTCACCCCAATATCAGGAGAAAAGAGAAACAAGTTTTATTTAATTTATGTAAAGAAAAGTTTGATGTTTTTCTATTGTAATGTGAGTGGTCCTAAAAGTTGTCTCCATTCTCATGAAGTGAAATACTGTTTTCCTCCTTTTGATTGGCAAAATATAAGCTGGACATGTTCTTGACAGAGATTCACCCTGCAACACACACTTGCACTATAAAAAAAATTTAATGGATCAATCAAGGTGAAATGTAATGTACTAGTGTAGTATCAGTTTGAAGAAATGTATTGTAAAAAGATTTCCGACAATGATTGTTATAAAGAAAACCTATTTGAGTGTACTTTTATTGACAATTAAAAGTTCTTTGATCACCACATAGTTTTGACCAAGATACAATCAGTAATAAATAAAAAAAATGGACACAAAATAAAACGATTCTCTGTGCGTGCAAAACAGGGATGTACAAACTGTCGAAGTGTCAGAAATAACTCAAAGACAGGAAGTGGAGGGCTGTACAAGAGGTGTTCCCTGCATTTTGAACACAAACAAGAGTCGGAAACATTTTTTACACCAAAGTAAGTGTACGATCACTACGAGCTAGGCCTGTCTTTTGGAGATTTCCCCTAACGAGAGGCTGCGGCGGGACATTTGATCATGAATTATACGTGTTTTACATTGTTTCAAACCAAACAATAACACGTGCGAGCGTACGCTTTAAAGTCAACACGAGAGTTAAATATATCCAATCAACGATGTTCTTGTGGAAAATGTAAAAAGTAATGTAGCCATTGCCATTGGGTGAGGGTGAGTGTCGAGGGCGTTTTAGGAGGGCTAAGTCACTTTTAGGTTTTTTTACGTGGGTTCACGAATTAATGATGGATGAAATGCGCAAAAAACGAGCGTGACGTAGACTCGGACGGGTATGTATTGTTTTTGGGCGAGGGGCTTTCAATGGGCAAACGGAATGAAAAGCAACAGCATGTTGAAAGCGTCTCTCGGGTGTTGGGGGAAAATCCATAACAACAGCAGCAGCGTTCAAAACCTTGACGTTAAAAGACGCAATGTGCACAAAGTCTGAATGTGTGGTTTATCTTTTTATATATATAGACGTGTGTGTGTGTATATATATATTTCTTTATATTTGTTTATGTATTTCTATGTATAAAAGAGCTTTATTTATAGTGATTTACAGTTGAACCTACACATCCCCTGTAGAAGAAATACACAGTACTCAAGCCGAAGGAGGCGCGTGGCGTAGAAGAAGATAGAAAGGGCGAGAGCGCGTCGGCATCTGCGGCAGAGGAGCGGGACGTCGGAGGTCGGCGGGCCTTCACCGTCCCCTCCTCGCCCCGTCCTCCGCAGGCTTCCGTTGTTCTCTTGGCAGTGTGACTCGTCAGAATCGTTTGTTTGGGCCAACTTGAAGGTACGACTCTGAAAGAAACATCAAAGGACACGAGGGTGAGTAAACGATGAGAGAAAGGTGGACAAGTGTGTGGGCTTTGTTGTAGAGCACATGTTTGAGAGATGACACTGTACAATAAAGAGGCAGTCAGTGAATTTTGAACTGTGATAAGGGCTTTTAATGTAACATTTCCCATTATGAATTACGATACAGCTTATTTCACTCCAGTTTGTGGAATGTAAGTGCAGGAGGAGGAGACAGTGGGAGAGCTTGGTTCCAGCATACACCAGTTCCTCCATTTTTTCCTGGCTTCCCTTGCTGAATCTTGGAGCAGTTCTAGCTAAGGTGGGAATGTGTTTGTGAGCAGTGGTTGCTGTTGCTGCTCAGCAGGTGTGTTTGTGGGTTGAGTGGAGTGGCGGGTGGGGAGAAGTACATATTGTCCTTTAGCACTCTTGCACAAAGTTTGTTTGGGTGAAGGCTATCTGATTTAAAAGCTGGAATTTCATTCCTGTCAGGTTGCATGTTTTTTTGCAGCCATGTATTTTTAGAGCAAGCAATCTTGAAAACATATTTGTTCCGCTCGTTGGGAGTGGTGTTCTAAGTGTTTCCAAAGAGTTGATTGGAATCCTTAAGGAGGTCTGCATGAATGATTATTGACTTTGCAGTCTTGTACTTCTTCTGAAGTTGCTTGAGGAAAGCAGCATGTAGTTGTATCCCTGCTGCTAATATTTGTGATTATGGAGTGATGCACTATGAAAGCTGTATTTGGGGTGGAGGAAGCTGGTGCTGCAATACGTGTTGCTGGTTGTTTGGATAAAGTGGCAAGCTTTGTTGGCTGAAGTTGTAGTTACATGTAATAAGAGTGTAACGTAATGGCTGTTTAATGGTTGGTGCGATCATAAAGGCCAGTGTGTTTGAATTGCGTAAACACTGTCACGTAGATGCCGGTGCACTCTTGTCACTTCAGTGGAAGGATTGTTGATGATGCAAACTCAATTCATGTGTTACTCATTGGGTATATTGATTTAATGAGTGATTTATTTTGCAGATGGCAGAGGAGAGGGGCAATGACATGCTGGTTGTTTTGAGTGCATGGGAGTCACTCACAGCTTGAAGTTGTCATGTTCTCTCAGCAAGAGTAGGTCCTCACAGCGGAGCTGTCCAGACGCTGTACTGCTGATGGTCCAACTGCACAGAAACAAAGATACTGAGAGTGAGTGAGTGGGTGGGTGAGTTTGTAGTTAAAAAAATGTGTGTGTGATTGTTTTCATTAATAACGTGTGTTTTTCAGGTGTGGAAGTCAGACTTTGAAAATGAGAGTACCTCAATTATCTTGAGGCCCCTTGGAAGTGTGCTCCAGCTTTGAGGTTTAGAACCACTGTTGTATGAATAGTTGCATATTTAACAGGATGATATCATCATCATTGTGAGAGTTTGTTTAGTGTACACAAAAAACTACCGGGGCTCTCCAAAAAAAAAAAAAAGAAGGAATACACAAGGTTGTTTATGGCACATTGGACAAAGGGAGCCAAGTGGCTTGATTATAATAAATAGATATTTATTGTATTTGAGATGATGAAAGAAATCAGTACAGCACAATGACATGGTTAGTATAGTGTGTTTGGTGTGAGTGGTTAACATCCAAACACAGAGTACAGAGGTGTTAAAGGGGGACATGAATGAAACTTTTGAGAGAAAGCACACAAAGATGAGTGTATGAACAGTGGGTCAAGAGTGATAGTTGACTTGGAACACACAGTTAGCTGTTGTCATTGGTCGTAGGTAATGAGGAGGCAGAGTAGCGTGTGGTTTCCACGGTTAATGATGTTTAACGAGTAAATGGTGTGTAGAGCGTCAGGTGACTTTGCAGAAAGCGTGTGGTTGGTTGATTGCAGAGCAGATGGTGACGCTGCTGATGGGGATTCAGGTATATAAGCAGTCAGTGTGTCTGTAGCGGCAGCAGAAGAGGCAGCCGTCGTGGGGCGGCGATGGTCGTGTTCATCCCTCGTCGTGTGAAGACTGGCTCGTGTAAAGACAAGCGACTCTACCTGCGCGACTCCACAGAGGGACACACCGGAGGGGACCAGGGAATGAAGGTACTTCTCTCATTCTTTGCCACACTGACTACATCTGCTACTCATCAGGAAGGTCTTTCTCTGCAGGCAAACATTTCCAACCCAAAAAAACACCTTCCATACTTGCTGCCTCTGTGGGTTTCACAAGGGTTGGAGATACACTCTTCAGGTTTGTGACAGGATTTCTCATACACAATACACTCTTCTCTCCATCATTCCACCACACATTCCTAACTAAATACATCATCATCTCCAGCTGATTCACACACCAATCACCACAATATCACAGGACTCAAACCACCCTTAATAAATCAACCAACACATTCAAACAAGCACACAAGCATTCATTCATTCATATAACACTTGGTTTTCCTGTTAACAACAAGGCTGAGTTGAACAACAATAGAACAACAATCTATTGTTTTTTTCCCCTTTCATGTTTGCTATTATTTTAAATGTCTTTTAAAAGTAAAATAGTCACAATTTCTTTGCAGTCACTGATATAATGAGAATCCTCTCCTCTCCCCCAAAAACAGGTGTTTGTGGAGTAAATATTTATTTAATATATATTTACCCAATTACATGCATATAAATGATCAAATTGACTAAAACAACTTGAGAAAAATAACAATATTAAAAAACACTATTTATTTTGTGTAATTGAACTACTTTTTACACCCACTGAAGTCAGCTGAGCAAACAAAGAAAATGGTATAAAATGAGAAAAGCACATTTCAAGTGTGTAAATGTTTGTTGATTTATCATAAAATCTCAGAATTTCAATGTGATTCTGATGATGACACCAAAGGCACTTTATAGTGATTTTGTTACATATATACAATTAAATCTAGATGAGCAAACAACAAATGATGCATAAACAGCAGCATGAATTTATTATGAATGCATCACAACAGACAAAAGGCCTAACACCGTGTCCTAACCAGACGCCACGCGATTAAAGGTATATTTTCCATGTTAATCAGAGTTTTTGTCCAAACCAGCCACAACGATTCTATTTTAAAAACGGTTTCTATTTCTGCGACGTTGCGGCTGGAAAAACAACAAAGTATGATTGTGCTTTATTTAATGTTAAAAGCATCTGTGTGAGTTTGAATATCATTTTGTCTGTATTTTATAGCCATAGGCTACTGAAAGCAACAATTCCCCTCAGATCTTCAAAATAATTAAAAGTGAACAAGAACGTTCAAACTGTCAACTCATTGTTAACAGACAAGTGTACTTCATGTCAACGATCGTTTCCATAAGTGTTATGAACCAATTACTTTATATGGGAATCATTGGAACAAAAACACATTTAAAGATTGATACTTAACTCTTTAAATAATAGCTAATAACAAACTCCAATTACATTTTTTCTTTAATTTGCTTTGTTCAAACTTGACCTTATAATTTAAAAAAAATAGATAGATCGAGGATAGATCGTGCTCACTGACAGGTGCTGCCTTTTTTGTTTTTCACATATGCCAGGGATGAGAAGCCTAGCGCATCTTTGCCCATCCTGTCAATCTCTGTGTGAAATATAAAACTGAGCGCGCACCAGTACAGAGGGCGGAGCGGGCGATTTAAACTTGAAATATATCATTGTTGTTTCGCTTATTTATATTCGATTGGACATGCTCATATGTTGGTGTTTTTGTATATTTTCAAAATATATGCTATTAAAAAATATTATATGGTAGG